ATACCATACATTTTCTTTTCTTTTCGATTTCTTTGTTATCTCATATCCGAGCCGGCGTTGCCGACGGGGACCGCTTTCTCCTTTTTTTTTTTTTTTTTTTTTTTTTTTGCGTACTAAGATATATGAAAGATATATTTTTGCAACGGAACTTGGGCCCCGCCAATAGTTTTGCTGTGAAACTACCGCGACGCGCTATTTTTTAAACTTACCCTTCTCTCAAATTGACCAACTTGATCTTGAAGGTCGTACCGCAGACGAGACGGATTCAACCCCTCTCTCTCTCTTCCCCTCCCCTTACCTGTTTTTGAAGCGACGGCCTTGAGGCATGGCATTACAATCGAACGGACGGGCCCGTGGGCCCGTAGTAATTCAGAAGTAATTTGCTTTCATGTTCTTCGGGACATCCGTTAAATTTGGAACGAGACAGAGAAAGAAAACATTAATTAGCATGGCCCCTGCGCTTTCAAGGATGACACGCATCAATCGAAAAAAAAGAGTAATTGATTCATTCATATTTCATTCATAATTTCATGGATTCATATTTCATTCATATCGTTCTATGCGGAATTGAACTGAGGTCTGTACTTCAACAGTTCAGTTAATGGGGGTACCAACTGAGTTATAAGCGAGTTGGTGCAGACGAGACGGATCGGACTTATCTGAGTGGTTGTGGCCCTTGTGGGTGGGCGTGGGGAATTTCACTCTTTGCGGTGAAAATTCTGACTGAGGCTGGCGTTGCTGGGCGAGCCCCAGTTGTCACAGCAGCAGTGATCGCAATTCTTTTTTTTTTTTTTTTTTTAATTGCAACCTGCTAGGTAGTAGCTATGGCGGCTTCAGCTCATCACTTGCAAGCTGCCTTCATCTCGCCGTTGTCTTCCTCCACCATCAGCGGAGAAACTCCAACGATTAGCGATGGATGCAGCGCTGAGCGCAGGTCGCAGCTGAGGGGAGAAGGGAGGAATTCCCTCTCTCGATCCTTCGTGCATGACTGTCATCAGTGCCGGTTATCGACCTCCTCCACCTCCTCCTCCTCCTCCTCCTCCTCCTCCTCCTCCTCCTCCTTGTCCTCCTCCTCAAGTTCCTTCTCATCACCATCGTTCTTCCAGGTACCGTTTGCGCCCTCGGGTTCGTTATCTGTCTGTGGGGGAGATGGGGGAGATGGGGGAGATGGGGGAGATGGGGAAGTGGTTAAGGGTAGGAGAAGCCGATTGGGGAAAAGCAATCCCCTCCTTCGCTCTCTCTCTGGCTCTGGTGGTTGTCTCGGGGCCGCGGAGAATCGAACCCGCAGCTTCCGCCTTCAAGTTGACATGGCGGTGCAGCGTATCCGAGCGATCAGGGCAAGCGATGCAATGCAGGGGATCGCAAAGAGAAAGAAGAGAGAGAGGAGGGAGGAGAGGGAGGTGGTGAGCATTGAAACAGGAGCGGTAGTAACTCGCCGGCTGGAGTGTGGGAGAAGGAGGGAGGTGATAGCGGCCAGTTCCAAAAACGACAGTCGAACCGTCGTCGCGACCACGGTTGGCTATTTTGAAGGTGTGGAGGACGGTTCAAGTTGGGAGAAGGAGGTGGATGACGATGGTTCTGGTTCCCCTCTCGAGAGCACTTCTCCTCTCGTCGGAAGAGGATTCGACAGATCCGTTCAGATCGACGACGATGGCCGCATTGCCGTCCGTTATCCCACCGGTGACGTCAACGAAATCTCCATAGCCAGCGTCTCTTCGTCTCGTTCTCCCTCGACCTTGGCTCATGGCCAGGTGCTCCTCCCTTCCTCCATTCTCCTTCAACGGCAAGAGGACGACGATCCTTTCTATGGTGCTTACCCAGCACCACTCCCACCTTTACCCACGTCCTTATCTTCAACGATATCCCCATCCTTGTCGTCGTCTTCATCGTTTTCCTCATCGCTATCGCCATCGCTATCGCCATCGCTGTCGTCGTTGTCATTACCGGAGGAAGGAGGAGGAGAGGAAGAAGCTGGCTGGGCGCCTGCGGGGGCAGCGGTAGGAATGACAGCACAGGGGGCGCAGGAGGTGGAAGAGGGGGGCGAGAGGGAGGGGGGGGAGGAGGAGGAGGAGGAGGAGGAGGAGGAGATGGGAGTGCAAGACACACCACTGGCCAGCACGTTTGAGCACAGACTGTGGGTGGCTGCAACGGCAGCGGCTTTGGGAGATATCATCCTCCAATGCATGGACAGCGTCCATGACTTGCCCTCCCTCTCTGCTGCCGGGATCGGGACGGTAGCTGGCTATCTCGTCGCCGACTTGCTCACCGGTTTCTATCACTGGGGAATCGACAATTACGGTGATGCCAACACTCCGGTCATCGGAGCTCAGATCGACGCCTTTCAAGGCCATCATCAGCGTCCATGGACAATCACGCAACGGCAATTCGCTAACAACACTCACGCCATCTGCAAGCCTGTACTGGCTTTCCTCGTGCCCTTTCTCCGTCTTCCACTCTCTGTCTCCTCTCCTCTTTCTCTTCCTGCGTCTCCTCTTCTTCCTACTTCTCCTACTACACCACCTCTCTCCCTCTCTCTGCTGCAGAAATACGTAGAGAGCAGTCCTTTTGGACGTGGCATGTCCCACATGCATCCCATGCATGGGCCGCACGTCGATCATCAAAATCACGTCGGCCAGTTGTTCGTCAGCAGCGGCGGAAATCACGTCGTTCTTGGCCATTTGTTGCACGGCCCGGCTTCGTGGCATGCAGAGGCGATGGCGGCAGCAGCTGGCTATGGCTTTCTTTTCGCTGCCGTCTCCTGCATCGTGCTCAGTCAGCAGTTTCACGCCTGGGCTCATTCGAAGAAGAGCCAGCTGCCATGGATCATCTTGCAGCTGCAGGATGCAGGGTTGCTCGTCTCCAGGCGAGAACATGGGCTTCATCATCGACCACCTTACGAAGGCCACTACTCCATCGTCAGCGGCATCTGGAACCGGTATCTGGACGAGAACAAGGTCATGTACAGGCTAGAGAAACGAATTTACCAGATCTGGGGAGTGGCTCCCCGAAGCTGGCTGCCCACAGATAAATCCTGGCTCGAAGAGCGCAGAGATGGCGAGGACGAAGAAGGCGAGGAAGTGAAGTAGTTTGTGTAAATACAAAAGGATTGGCAATTTGGCATGATATGCGTGATCAGCAGCAGCCGATTACCTGCTGGAGCTCTCGAGAGACTTCCAGCAAACAGATAAGAACCTCCGAAAGCGTAGGGGGCTGGAACAGTACGGCGGCTACGGCCCGACAAGCGAGGAGTCGAGGACGGAGATCAGTCAGGAGATTGGAAACAATAGAGAGCAGGAGGAGCAGGAGGAGCAAGAGGAGCAGCAGGAGGAGCAGGGGAGGAGCAGCAGCAGCAGCAAGAGGAAGAGGAGGGGGAGGAGGAGGAGCGACCATGATATCAAGGGAAGATTGGAGGAGATTCACTAAGGTCTTCATCAGTCGCAGAGACCAACGGCTGCGGCTTTCTGTGCGTTCGTCGGTTTGCGCATCAACTTCAAGTCTTTGAGGTGTTCTGACAACAGTCCTTCAGCAGGGAAAAGAAGGCGAGGAGAGAGAGAGAGAGAGAGAGAGAGAGAGAGAGAGAGAGAGAGAGAGAGAGAGAGAGAGAGAGAGAGAGAGAGAGAGAGAGAGAGAGATTAGCACTCGCAACATCATTCCAAGAAAGAGCACGCTGCCAGAGGGAGGATTATGTTGCATGCTGACGCCGGTTCCAGCTCACCACCACACTTCTGCCTCCAAGAAGTTAGACTCCTCTTCTCGCTTCTCTCTCTCTGTGTGTGTGTGTGTGTGTGTGTGTGTGTGTGTGTGTGTGTGTGTGTGTGTGTGTGTGCGTGCGTGTCTGTGTGTGCGTGCGTGTCTGTGTGTGCGTGTGYGTGTGYGTGTGYGTGTGTGTGTGTGTGTGTCAATTTGCACATGTGAGCAGCACTCAGTTTGGCCAACTTCAATGTGGTCAGCTGAGATCGGTTTCGACTCTCGATCAGTCGATGAAGTCAGACTTCGCTTTCCGTTATTTTGTCACTGCTCACTTCACAAGTAAGGCGCAAAGGAGAACCTCGACGGGGGAGCTGTCATGGGCTTGCAACGGGCAGCCCTTGCATTCAATACTTGTCACAGGTGAGACAGAAGGGTGCAAACATCAGCTCTCCGGCCCGGCGAGCCAGGCGGACGCTCCCAGTCTCAGCCATCCTTGGAGCCCTAGGAAGTCTCAGACTGGGGGTGCACAGGTCGGTCAATCTAGAGCAGAGAATTAAGAGTTGGGCCTGGAACTGGTCATTTCAGGACCTGTGTGCAAGACCTGCTGGGCCTGGCCAGAAGCTTGACCAGCACGCTCCAGAAGTTTCGGTCATTGTGGGACCTGGAAATGGACCTGGTTATAGACCCGGACGTGGAACTGAAACTGCACCTGGACCTGCACCTGCACCTGGATCTGGACCTGGACCTGACCTGGACCTGAAACTGGGCTTGGAACTGGCCTGGAACTGGACGTGGAACTGGAATGAAACTGAGACGGGAACTGAACTGGACCTGGACCTGAAACTGGGCCTGGAACTGGACCTGGAACTGGATGTGGAACTGGAATGAAACTGGGACTGGACCTGGTTATAGACCCGGACGTGGAACTGTAACTGGAACTGCACCTGCACCTGCACCTGCACCTGGATCTGGACCTGGACCTGACCTGGACCTGAAACTGGGCTTGGAACTGGCCTGGAACTGGACGTGGAGCTGGATGAACCTGAGACTGGACCTGGAACTGGAACTGGACCTGAAACTGGGCCTGGAACTGGACCTGGAACTGGATGTGGAACTGGAATGAAACTGGGACTGGACCTGAAACTGAGCCTGGAACTGGACCTGGAACTGGACGTGGAACTGGAATGAAACTGGGACTGGACCTGGAACTGGGCCTGGAGCTGGACCTGGAACTGGACCTGGACTGCGAGCCTGTCCTGCAGCATTGAAGTGTTACAATTCTTGTCTTTCCCAGACGGGAAAGGAAGACGATTGAACGTTCCACGGTTCCAGGAGCTTGACGGTCACCCAGGAATGGAGAACACTTCAAAATTTCACAATCTTGGAATGGAGGACGGAGGTGGAATGAAAGAGACTCCTGGAACAGAGAGAGAAAGGAAGATTCCAAAGGTCCATGCAGCTACGTGGTGTTCTACATATCAACCGGTCAAGGGCCCACCACGGAAGACCAGTTCGTCTGCAAAGAGGGGTTGAATGGGGGTACCTGGGTACCTTAGGTCACTAAGGTCGGATCATCTCTGGCCTCGGAGTATCAGAAGAAGCATGGTAAGCACACAGGCCTATGGGGTGGGGGAGGTGGCCGCCCAGTCAGCAACCTTGCTCCAATAGACGACCCCTCCGCAAGGCTGTGACCAAGCATGGGGAAAGATACAGAGTGACTGTCTCAGGCTGACAACTTGAATGCCTGACATACTGTGGCTGACACCGTGACCCCTATACATAGGTCTATAAACCTATCTGATCTATCTGCCGATAGATCTATTTTTATCTTTTATTATTTTTTTTTACATACGAAGATATGTAGATAGATTGACCTATCTATACATCTATAGATCCATGTGTACATCTAGAGAGCTATCTATAGATGTATGGATTTATCTATACATCTATAGATAGATCTTTAGAACCAATCATATTTGGTTTTCCATTTTAACATTTTACTTCAGATTCTAATAAGAAATTTAACATGTGTCCCAGCGAAAAGGTGTTCAAACTTCAAAATGACGAGTTCTGTCACATATAACGTTTTTTTCCGGGTTTTTTTCATGGACTCTCGTCTTGGACGGGGTGCAACAGACATTCCGCTGCTTTGCATTTGTGTTCAACGGCCGTCAGCCGGACTGTGTGGAGGTTGTACACCTTTTTTTTTTCTTTTTTTTTTTTTCTTTTTTTTTCTTTTCTTTTTTTTTTTGAGGTTGTACACTAAGTATGCAGCATACAAAAACGTTTTGTACATCATCATGATAGGAGGTGATACTTAGCATTTGTGTGTGTGCGCTAAAAGGGTCACCTTTCCCCCAGACTGCATGATCTTCGAGGGGGAAGGGACGTGTGGGTGTGAACTTGTGTGCGAGTGTCTGCATGTGTCTGTGTATGCCATGAGGGATCGCAAGCCTAGGATGTTGTGGGTGTCAATGTGTGCACACATATTCATGTGCGCCGTGACCCTGCACGATGACGATCAGTGTGGAAAAAAAAGGGAAAAGAAAATACTCTTTTTGACGTTGATCCTTTTTAAGATCAACAGCTCCGAGTCTGCCCTGAAAGGAGGTTTAGCTTTCACCAAGTCTAAATTAACGGTTGTGTGGAGCCACTATGGACAAAGTCCGCTTCCAAAAGCCTGTATCAGCTTGGTACAAGCCTCCAGAGGCTTGGGAAAAGAATCAACGCCCAGTGTACTAAAGCACCGCTGCACCAGTACTTGGCCCAGCTATCGGCCGCGGGGAAAAAAAAAGTAGAAACATTTCTAGTCGGATGAATTTGGGCGCTCCTGTAGTAGCCCGTACGTTTCCTAAAATCGCGTAGCGTTAACGGGCAAGACTCTAGGAAGTACTGGTGGTTTAATCCTCATGTACCACGGGAGTTTACTACTGTAAAGCTCCCTCTCACTCACATGTGGGGATTTCTGGTCATGTTATGATGAAGTCTAAAAAAGAAGGGGAGCGCTAAGGATCGCCAGTCTAAGGGCATACTCACACAAACACTTTTCTAAATAAATCTGACTGGAATCACATCGGTGCCCCGATGCATCTGACCAAAATCTAATCTGGAGCTTAGGAGAAAAAATCCTTAGGCTAGTGTGAGGATGCCTTAACAAGGCGCAACAATTTACATCGGATTCCCTGATCCGACTTAAACGACCAATACTTCGCCCATACATCGGCAACGGACCCCTCGCGTTAACACGCCATGACTTTCAGGGCAGGCAACCGTTGATAAATCTCATCAACGGCCTTTGTCACATCTACGGCATCGGGAAGTCGCGGTGAGAGGCCCGCAGCCAATGTATGAGCCAAGTGCTGATGATTTTGACCTTACTGCAAGATAGGATTTGACAAGGAAAGGTTTTCCTTTTTATATTTAAGAATTTGAGAAATCTGATTTGGTCTAAGTACTAGCCTTTGACAACCGCATCTAAGTAGCTAATGAAAAGTACATTAACCGAAACTTTGTTGGTAGTAACAGGTGCATGGGCATTACGAGGCATTAGATAAACGTCTCAAAATTTTTAAATTTATGCCATGTTTTTGTCGATGAGTGGAAATACTGCATGGTAATGCCGCAACACGTGTTATGGTGGATGACAACCTTGCCCCATCTATTTCGTTGCAGCACTTAGTTAGGCAAGGGGGCCTATTGCTCCTTTTTTCTTTGTTATATTTATGAAAACTTTTGCTCCTAATTAACTGCAGCAAACTTAACACTGACTTGAAGTCGACATTTGATGGACAAGTTTTGTACAGTTTCAAATTCGAGGATCAACTGGGAAAATAACGCCTTTAACGTCAGCTTAGGATGATGGATTCATCTTCAAGGGGTTAAACCTTCATAACAACCTTAAATCCGGTGGTTACCTAAAAAAACTCTCATTTGAATCCTATGAGTATCTCTTTTAGCGGTTGGCAAACCAACAACAACATGCACTTCGTGAAAATTGGACAGAAACGAATGTCCATTTTGCCAATTGTGCGGCTTTTTTTTCGGACAATAGATTTAAGGGCAACACAGTTAGACCCAAGATTCATGTTGCACAACAACAGGGTAAAAAATAATTTAAAAGAAAACAAAGGTAGACATACAACTTGTATGTTACCACACCATATCAAAAATAGGTTTCCAAAACTTTGCAGCAAATTCACAAAACTGGTAGACATACAACTTGTATGTTACCACACCATATCAAAAATAGGTTTCCAAAACTTTGCAGCAAATTCACAAAACTGGTAGACATACAACTTGTATGTTACCACACCATATCAAAAATAGGTTTCCAAAACTTTGCAGCAAATTCACAAAACTTGGGGTGTGGAAAAATAGTTATCCGATAAATTTACAGGGCATTCATGATGTGACTGGAACAACAAACAGCTACGTGACCCCCTAGGCCGCGGATCCTCCGGCCCAGTCCGTGGCCTAGGAGGCCGACAGCAGGCCCGTGGCCGAGTTTCTTCGCGGTCGCACCACGCTCAGGCGAGGGCGCGTGCGGGAAATCGGCGCACGCCGCGCGGCATCAGCCTGCGCACGTCCTCC